AACTCTCCTTCACTTTCACTCACCACCTCTCCATTATCCAACAACACTATTGCCCGTTTATTTGGGCATTGAGAAGCAATGTGCCCTTACCCTAAGCATCTGAAACACTTGATGTCTCGATTCCTTGATGGTTGTGAATCTGTTTTGGGTGTTGTTTTGCTAGCACTTTCTTATTTCCCTTTCTGCCTCTCATTCCTACCTTTAGGTACAACTTTATCACTTTTGTTGTTGTTGCTCCACCCTGGCTTCCAAGATGGATTAACACTTGAAGTTCTTAACGGCTGCCTAGCTACCCCTTTTCTCTTCAGTTGTCTCTCTACCTTCATAGCCACATGCAACATGTCTTCCAACTCCACATAATGTTACAACTCCACTACATTGGCAATTTCCCTATTCAACCCATTCAAGAATCGTGCCATGGTAGCCTCTCGATCCTCCACCACATTGGCCCTAATCATGAGTATTTCCATCTCCATATGATAGTCCTCTACACTTTTCGACCCTTGATATAGACCTTGCAGTTTTTGATAGATCTCTCGGTAATAGTGGCTAGGAACAAACCTCTTTCTCATCAATGACTTCAATTTCTCCCAAGTGCTGATTGGTCTTCCCCCACTCCTACGTTGTGAAGTAATCACTTGATCCCACCAAGAAATTGCATAGTCACTGAACTCCAAAACTGCTAACTTCACCTTTTTCTCCTCCAAGTAGTTATAACACTCGAAGATCATTTCAACCTTCCTTTCCCACTCCAGGTATGCCTCGAGATCACTCCTTCCTTTGAATGAAGGAACTGTCATTTTTATATTTTTCAAGTTTCCATCCAACTCCTCCCCGCGATCATTACGACCCCGTCTGTCGAACCTATCGCCTCTATTCCTCATCCTTCCCATCTCAACACCATAAAATTCATCTTCGCCCATGTCATTCCCATATCCATACTCCTCTCGCCTTTCCCTCCTAGGCTCACATCTATCCGGTCCTCTGATATTGGATACATCCACTCGATGCCCCCGACTAAGATTAGCCACTGATGTATCTAATCTATTCATCCAAGCCTCCTGCTTCTCCAACCTATCTCTCACATCTCCAAACGCCCTCTCAATCCTCTGATGCATTGTTATTATTGCCTTGTTGGCTTGAGTTTGATTCTGTCCTTTTTGACATCCTAACACTAAAAATTTTATTTTACTGCCTCACCAAAAGTCACTCAGAAACACACAAGGGCTTTTACCCCTATTAAGTTCACCTCTCTGCCTTTTACCACTCAGTTCTTTCAACAATTTCTTCGAGAAAAAATCAATGAACTCAATCAATTCGTGGAGAATTCCCCAAACTGAATGGGACTCAATAATTGTAACAAAGGACTCAAAGAAAACTTTTAAAACTTGACTTGAATGGAATGATGTCCAAGTAATTTAGAAACGATATTGAATAATAAAAGTTGGTATTTGACGGATCAATAATATTTAACAATTTTATTTTTTTTACCGTACGGATGAACAGTAATTTTTTTCAGATCCGAAAATCAATAACAAAACCAACAAAGAAAACGAAAACTGATTTGGGCGAAAATTGAGCCCAGAAACGAATTTTGAAGATTTTTTATGAAACTTTTGGATCAAAGAATCAAGAAAACCTTCTGGACACAAGAACACAAGGAATTGAAAAAATTAGAAAACAAAGGATATAACCTGATTAAATTGGAGCCAAAACTCTGACACCAACTGATGTGAACCCCGTAGCAATGGAAACAACAAAACCCACAACGAGATTGATGCGGAACCCAAGAACGCCAATACTAACCCGATTTTGGATCTTGAACCCCAAGAATTGAACCAAGAAACCCTAGATTAGCGAAGAACCTAAAATCCCTTGATTACAATTAAAAGAACCCATAATCTGATTGTTTAGAAGGCCACAAGAAATTGAATCTTGATAAGTTCCAAGATTGTTCAAGAAGAACAAGAAATTGAAAGAACAAATTCTCTCTCTATAATATTATTCAAGCAAAAAGTCAAAAGTCCTTACAATGAAAAATATTCTCCTATTTATACTAATCCTCGAATAGAAGTCAAAAGGAAATATAATTTTAATAATCTAACAAAATCCCTAAAATATTCGTCCAATATGGTAGGAGTTTGATTAAGAATGAAATTCTAGTAAAATAAGGAAAAACGCGGAAAAAAGGAAAATCGCGCCCAGAAATCAACCATGCTATCACATGGTTATAACTCGTGCTACCACATGGTAATAAAATTTCGGTCATTGAATTCTCGGCATCATGTCGTGCAATCGCACCGTGCTGTCGCATGGTTATACGGTCCACTCTCTTCTTCGGCTGCTTGTAAAGCATTGATCCATTTAGTTTCGGCCTTCGACCCGAGCACGAAACTTGTCCCATTTTGAGTCCCGAACATGGTTCCATCAATAGTTTCTTGAATGAGCAATCCCATCGCTTGTTTCACTTGTTTTGCTCTTGATCGCGTCATCGGTCCACCTTCGATGATCAACGAATCCTTCCCGTGACTTGACGCTTGAGTTGTCTTGGTTGTTGACGTGCCTTGATTCATATTACATGTTCATACATTATGCATATATATGGATGGGGGAGGGAGAGTTTTATCTTTGTGACGTTGCTGGATAAGATATACTGTAATAGTTGGTGCTCAGAATTTTTTTGTAATTTGTTTTCATCTCTCTTCTGACATTTGATCATTACTTTTGGGGTGCAATAATGACCTTTTTTATGTTTGAATCATATTCAAGAAACATAGTATATCTAGAAACTTTTCTTCAAGGTTACTACTTTGTTTGCAAAACCCACAAATTGCTAGTAATTTTCTCTGCTTTTGTATTTAATTTGTTGTCTATTTTTTGCTCCAAATTCACCGATTTTGTTACTCCTTGATTCTAATGATTTCACCAATTCGCATAAGCACTTCCAATTTTTCTTATTCTACTCATCTCTTTCAAATTTTTTTTCTTTCATGTATATCATCCTTCACCTCATCTGTAAATGGTTATCTCTGTTCCCTTCTTGTGGAGTTAAATTTTTTTTAGTGGAAAATTATTTATTAAATGTGTGAAACCATTAATATAGATTATCTTGACTGATTTGTGTCTTGCTTTTATGGGATTTATCCTCAATTGAGACCCAATGGTAAAGTAGTCATGAAATAGTATCTCTGTGTCCACCTAGTGGTGTAAGGCATTCCTACCACTCCGTTGAATGAGTGTTACCTAAAAAATGACGGTAGGGCTTCCTCTCTCATTTTACCTTCCGTGTGAGAATCAGTGTTAGGAAAAACAAAGATGGAATTCGAATAGCTTAAGTTTTTCTCCGAGAGATACATGTTTCACCTTGGGTGTATTTATAGGTGCCTGAAGCCAGGTGAGTGTTGGGTGGTTATGGTGCCACGTATCCCAAGTAGCCTTTTCCACTATCCCCACATTCTGAGTGAAAGATCTTCAATTTCCCGTCATTTTTTTTATACTTGTGATAGCCATTACGTGAATCTCATCAATTCATCAATAATTTTATGGCTAAGTGTTGGATTGATCGTGTAGGTAATCTCATGCTGGCCAACAAACTGGCATATACGTAGACCACTCATGGGGTCGACAATCTAGCTAGAAGTAGAGCGCTCGTAAGAGTCGATGGTATGGCATAGATGTAGACCACTCATGGGGTCGACAATTTAGCGTAGAAGTAGAGCGCTCCTAAGGGTTGATGGTATAGCATAGTCATAGAGCGCTCATGGGGTCAATAGTCTAGCGTAGAGTTAGAGCGCTAGTGAAGATTGATGGTCTAGCGTAGACGCAGAGCACTCTTGGGGATTGACGATCTAGCGTAGACGTAGAGTACTCTTGGTGGCTAATGATCCAGCGCAGGCGTGTAACGCCTCACTTTGCTCATCATCTTAGGCGGCTATCTATGCGATCCAATATCACTAGCCTCTACCATTTGTTGATGTTTTTCGGTAAGGGGTAGTATCTTCGTTCTCTCAAAATTTTGTAAACATCTTTTGCAAATAATTGGTTCCATATAAGTGAGTCGAGCAATTCAAGTCAAGCCGAGCAACCAAACTACTGTATACAATCAATGGGCTTGGTTTTGAAGAAAAAATTTTCCCCAAAAATTTGGTCTATAAAAAGGGGTGGAGCCACTCTCTCAATTCAATTTTCCTCCTCTCCATCTTCTAAGTACTCTTCCAATTGAGCTAATTTATCTCCCTTCCATTATTCCAATCTCTTGTTTTGAATTTGTCTATCTTTTCCCTCTCTTTTTTATCATGTATAAAACTATCATCACTTCATCTTTTGATGAGAGCAAAAATGAGAGGATAAGTGTGTCCTCCGACGCGTTAGAGGAGGAGACCGTCAGTCGACGGCCGACCAGGGCCGATCGACTATTGACCGACAATGTCCAGCCCAATAATCATGAAACAATACCTCCATGTCCACCTAGTGGTGCAAGGCACTCCTGCCACTCCATTGAACGAGTGTTACCTGAAAATGAGGGTGGGGCTTTCTTCTCCATTTTACCTTCGGCATGAGAATCAGTGTACGGTGTTAGGAAAAAGAAAGATGGAATTCGAATAGATAAAGTTTTGTCTCTGAGAGATACCTATTTTGTCTTGGATGTGTTTATAGGTGCCTGAAGCTAGGTGAGTGCTAGGTGATTACGGTGCCACGTGTCCGACGTAGCGTTTTCCACTATACCACGTTCTAAATGGGGTATTTTCAACTTCCTGTCAATTGGTTGTACCCGTGATAGCCGTTACGTGAATCTCATCAATTCATCAATGATTTTTTAGTTAAGTGTTGAATTGACTGCTTAGGCAATCTCATGTTGGCCGATGGTCAGGCGTAGACGTAGAGCGCTCATGGGAGTCGACCGTCTAGCGTATAGATAGAGCACTCGTGGGAGTCAATGGTCTAGCTTAGTCATAGAGCGCTCATGGGGGTCGACGGTCTAGTGTAGTCATAGAGCGCTCATGGGGGCTGACGATCCAGCGCAGGTGTGTAACGCCTCACTTTGCTCATCATCGTAAGCGGCCATCCATGCTATCCAATATCAAATGGACTTCAATAAAGAGGAAATGTTGATTTCAATGATAAATATGGAGAATTCTGATGAAGATTTGAAAGAAAATGGAATGGCGAAAAATAGGCACTCCTCTTACCAGCCAGGCATGAAAGCATCTCTACTTTAGCTTGATTTAACACTTATACATTAGAATGTGATTGATGATGATTCGACTCCTCAGCATCTTACATTAAACCATGTTCCATTGAATCATAATACCCCTCTAGATTTTAATGGTGTGAGAACTAGCATATATTCGGATGGTGTATCAACCCTTCTTAAACAAGATAGGGAAGATAAGAAATCCAAAGATGTTACATTTATTAGTACCGATAGAATTAGAATGACGGACAATGTGAAATTCGAAGTTTTCCATAAGGATGTTCTCGTATTGTTTGGACTACTAGAATTGTGTCATTGCAATGGGTTTATTGGAAAATCGATAAATCAAGGACAAATATGGAGCATGGCTTGTGAATTCGATATACTCGCAGGCTTGAGATTTTTGTAAAGAAATCAAAACACTGGCTTGAAGTCATCATCTTCCCCTAGTATTGAAGTCTATGTTGCTGATTGTTTATTGGGTAGTCCGATTATGTTGAGAAAATCGTGCAACTTTGTCATAGGAGGAAGCAAACAAGGAAACGAATGCTTGAATCGATACCAAATAAGAGGCCATTGGAAACTAAGAAGTTTCATCTGGGCTTGCAATGCAGGTAGGCATTCAAAAATTTCTTATCTGGGAAATTTTGATTGGAAAATAAAACTTATCCTTGACTGTTCAGATGGTATGAGGCCTGGCCAGCACATATTTTAAAGTACAAGAACATTACAGTACATTACTTTTTTTTCGTATTATATTTATTTCAACAGGATCTTACATAGATGATAGAAAATGGTGTGAATTGATTCATTCACTTGTATGAAAGGCTTCTTTTATGTGCTAATCTTCGATTTATTGCATGTTCGAGAACTTGAGCTAAATATACAATTGTTTATAGAGCATCGGAGAATGAATATTTCTATAAATAAATAAATTGTCCTGTCGAGCATTATGTTAACTCATTTTCTTTTGAATTTGGAGCTTGATATGCCCAGTATGCTTAGCTTTTCTTTTCCACTTTCCATTGATACAACTATGTAGATACGGGGCCAATGGTATCTATAAGTTTTTCAAACAAAACATTTTATTGATAATTTTTTCCTTTTTCTATTCCAAGAAATCGCATTTTCTACTCCAATGCAACATGTAACATTAATCTGATGCAAGTTCACATCGGATCAGTTTACATCGTTCAAGAGTTTCCCTTTTTATTTTGCATTATGCATCATGCTATTTGTCCTTAATTCATTCTGCAGGCAGAACATTACCAAAATTACAAACCGGAAGAAGATTATTGCAACCTATATCTAGGAATGGAGTATTCGGAAGGTGAAGATGGAGAGTTATCATGGTTTAATGCTGAAGCAAGAGTTGGGGTTGGAATTGAGCTCAGTATCTGTCTTGGAGTCGAAATGGAAGTTGCGTTGCTAGTTTGAACTTACCAAGGAACTTGAGGACCAATTTGCATATAAATGAGAAATTCAGTCCTATTTGAAGAAAATTAAAATTTGGGGTGTGTCCCTTTACCTACCACCCTTCAACTCCTAAATATAGGACCATTTGGACATTTATTTTGATCATATAAATTATTCTTTCATGTCATGTTGCATAAAACATTTTATAGAAGTGATTTCATTTTACATCAAAATCATGGTTATAATAGAGAGAGAACTCCGTTCGAGTTCACTGGTCGAAGCCATTTGGAGTGTACATATATATATACACATATATATATGTGTACATATATATATACACATATATATATGTGTACATATATATATACACATATATATATGTGTACATATATATATACACATATATATATGTGTACATATATATATATATATGTACATATATACATATATATATATATATATACATATATATATATGTGTACATATATATGTACATATATATATATGTACATATATATATATGTACATATATATACATATATATACATATATATGACTACACCAAAATTTTAAACCATAATTAATTTGGGTAAGAATCAGTTTGTGAACACTAGAATACCTTGCTGAATTATTATGGAATAGTGTGTTTATTTGCTTTTAAGTTTCAATAACCTCCTCGATTTCACAATGGAACGGTTTTGTACGTGCTTAAGATGACAAATTGTGAATTTAGTGGTATCTTGTACATTTTATATGATGCTTTCTTTCCGTCAAAATAATATTGAATATGTTCTGATTGGAAAGAATTTGTATGTTCAGCCAATTGCCTAGTTGCCAACTGCTATTGTGTAATTAATGCATGTGTTTTGTTGAAGAAAATAACAATCTCATGCACTAGTGTGTGTCTTTTCCTATTGTGTAATTAATGCATGTGTTTTGTTGAAGAAAATAACAATCTCATGCACTAATGTATATCTTTTCCAATTGTTGTCATGGTTGAGTGGTACCAAAGAATATATATTAAATGCATACATTGACAACTGAACTGGTGACTTTGGTCATACTCTGAACATTTAAGATTGTGCATAATTGTTTATTCATCCAAATTAATATTGGTTAATGTTCATGGGTCGATGCCGTCATTTTAATGAATAGGGTTGTGCATGTACATTTGAAACGTCCATCACTGTCAATAGCATGAATGGGTCCTTTATTACATGTGTTGGGAATACATTTTGATGTCTCCTTGTAAATTTTGTAATTGCCTCAATTTAAAGTATCCAACTGTTATAATGCTAATACAAAATAACAGGCATGTTTTATATGGATTTGTATAATTCAATGGTAGATAAGGTTATTGTGATTGAATGATATGGCTAATGAATGAAATCTGTTTTGACCAAACGCTATTTAATTTGTTGATTTGGTAGTTTCATTTGCTAAGTCCTATTTGCTGGTGATCTTAATCCAAATGGTGTGCCTATATTAAAAGAACTTGTGCCATAAATTGTCTAAGGAATTTTATTATAATTTCTTTAACTGTTTTGGGTATCTTTGCATGTTGAATCCAGAAATTGGAATAATATGATTTTCACTTTAAATGCAATGAAAATACTTTGTGGTGGCTTTTGATTGGAAAGCATGAATTGGCTTATGGCAATTTTATTTGATGGTAAATTCCTTAAAGAATCGCAAATTTTCATTGGAATAAATACAAAAGCGGATATGGAATGTGACATTATTATGTCGTTTGTATAAATGTGAATTCCAAATAGTGAATTTATTTGGTGAATCCATACAAAAGTTTGGATTTTGGATAGACTTTTGGTTAGCATATGCAAATTCGGTATATGCATATATAGTAAGTTGCAAATACGGTAAGCTGTAAATATGGTAGACTGCAATACAATAAACAACAAATATGGTAGGTTCGCAAATACGGTAAGATGCAAATACGGTAGGT